TTTGCTTTTGACCGAATTGTGTTAGATATTTGACTTTTTCTGGACGACTTAAAATTAAGTCGTCCCTGGGAAAGTTAAAATTGCAATATTTTATTAAATCTAGACGACTTACGGATAAGTCGTTTTAGGTTAGTTTTGCAATTCAAAAATAAAACTTAAAATTTTAACTTCTCCAGACGACTTAATTAAAAGTCGACCGGTCAGACGACTTATGTTAAAGTCGTCCAGGATAATCAAAGTCGTCCATAATATTTTTCGAGTTTTCTGGTCAAACCTTGTTTATCCTGGACGACTTTAATATAAGTCGTCTGATCGGACGACTTCCAATTAAGTCGTCTGGAGAAGTTAAAAATTTAAGTTTTATTTTTGAATTGCAAAACTAACCTGAGACGACTTATCCATAAGTCATCTAGATTAAATAAAATATTGATATTTTAACTTTCCCATAGACGACTTAATTTTAAGTCGTCCAGAAAAAGTCAAATATCTGACACAATTCGGTCAAATGCAAAACTAGCCCGTTTTACCTAGACGACTTAATTATAAGTCGTCTGGTGTTTTTTTTTTAACAAACAAAGCTGGGTGACTTAGAAGTAAGTCGTCCCATTTAAATTTCAATTGCAAAAATGACCTCAATGGACGAGCTACGGGTAAGTCGTCCAGACGATGTTTAGTAAACTTTCATGAAATTCTCTATGTTTACTAATGTGTTTTATTTTGAGTTTTTGCAGATGATTTGTCAGTTACATGCAGTGTATGGAGAATGGTTGTTGAAAGATTGCCGTTGGGATTTTGTGGTTGATGATCTCAAAGGAGCAAGATTGTTTTTATTGAATAAAGATTCAACACATGCTGAACTTGTTGCAATGACACAAGAAGATTATAACCTGGACATGAGCACAGTCACTATGGAGATTAGATACTCATTACCAGCAGAAATGATGATGGCTCCAGACACCCCTTCCATTCATGTTACAAGTGATAGACAAGTTCATAACTTGCTCGAGATACTCTAAACTCATAGAGTATGTCTTTGTGTATCAACCCGTAGCAAGGTGGGAACGGTTTCAGAGGAAAGGGAAGAAGCTGATGAATGTTTTGAAGATGAAGGTGATAATGAGTTGGTTGGAGATGAAAATCATGATGGGGAGGAGGATGATAAGGATGAGGATGATAAGGAGGAGGATGCTGAAATCTCTGTTTTCTCTAATGTTGCTGAAGCGGACGAGAATGGTGAGGATTATAGTGTTTATGGAAAGGTTAGAGATGAGGATGAGGAAGAAGATGGTGATGTGGTTTTTGAAGATTTCAAAGATACATATGCTATTAAAGGAGGACGATCGAATGGTAACGGTATATATGTCAACAAGAGTTTTGTTAGCAAGGATGCACTGCTTTCAGAGCTGCGGTTGACAGCAGTGAGGCGTAAGTTCTCCTTCGGAATATACAAGTCAACGCAAACTCTCCTTGTGTCAACATGTCGGGTTAGTGGTTGTGGATGGAAGATAAGAGCGAGTGTGAAACATGGTAAAAACACGTTTTGGGTAACAAAATATGTGGAAACACATACATGCTCAGTGGGAGACCGAATCGCTCAGCGGAGACACTGTACTCCGAAGTATGTCGGTAGGCTTTTCATTGATCGTGTTGGAATCATTGATGGGTTGACTCCACAGCATATCAAAGATGCAATGAAGAACATGTTTGGCATGGAGCTTGATTACACCACTTCATACAAGGCACTGTTATATGCACAAACATTGGTGAGATGAACAACAGAAGATGGGTATTCGCATCTGCCATCATATCTCGAGCAAATCTCCTTAGCAAATCCCGATTCAGTCACGGCTATAGAACTTGATTCTATGAATAGATTTAAGTATCTATTTCTGTCTTTTGGAGCTTCTATCAAAGGTTTTAAGTATCAGCGAAGGGTCATTGTGGTGGATGGGACTCACCTAAGTGGGAAGTATGANTATAGAACTTGATTCTATGAATAGATTTAAGTATCTATTTCTGTCTTTTGGAGCTTCTATCAAAGGTTTTAAGTATCAGCGAAGGGTCATTGTGGTGGATGGGACTCACCTAAGTGGGAAGTATGAGGGTACTATGTTGGTTGCAGCCGCACAAGATGGGAATTTTCAGATATTTCCATTGGCTTTTGGGATCGTAGATTCTGAAGACGACCCTTCTTGGGAATGGTTTTTCACAAAATTGACTACTTGTATATCTGATGACCAGCCTCTGGTGATAGTCTCCGACTGGCATACGGCCATTAAAAGTGCGTGTGATAAGGTGTTTCCTTGGACAGTGAGAGGAATATGTTATTATTACCTTCAAGATAACATTGTCAAAAAGTATAAAGGGAAACATCTCTTGTACTTGGTGAAAGGTGCTGCTTATGCTCATACGGTTTCAGATTTTAACCGGTACATGGCTGAGATAAATAGTGCAAACCTGGAACTTGCAATGTATTTGGTGAATGCCGACGCCAGCCTATGGACAAGGGTTTATTGTCAGGGGGACAAATACAACATAAAAACAAGCAACATCGCTGAATCTATTAATTCTGCACTGAAGCGAGCTAGAGGATTTCCGATTAAGTTTCTGCTGGAGTTCATAAGGGAGGAGCTAGGAAAGTGGTATTGGAAAAGGAGAGAAGATGCTTTGAGTCTCCCAACTCAACATAGTCGGGGTGTTGAATACTTGCTTGCTGTTCGAGAGGAGATAGCAGATACGATGAGGACCCAACCAATTGATGGATGGCGATTCTTTGTGAAAGGTGGCAAAATGGACTGTGTGGTTGATTTGGAACATGGAAAGCGTGATTGTGGTGTCTACCAAGTGAAGAAAATACCTTGTTCTCATGCTATAGCTGCTGGTACATTTGCTGGTTTGCATATATCCACACTTGTACATCCAGTGTACTCAAAAGAGTATTTGTTTGGAGGATACTCAGAGAATATATTTCCTTGTGGTGGACAACAAGTTGAAGAACGCACATGCTTCCCTCCAGAGGTAAAGCGTGGTCCGGGGAGACAGAAGAAATCAAGATGGCAATCTTGGTTGGAGCAATCTTGGTTGGAGCAATCTAGGATGAAAGGACGCAAACCCCGGAAGCAACACAGGGTTTATAGATGCTCAAACTGCAAGGAAACTGACCATACGAAACCACAATGTAAGAAACTGGTTGATTAGTCATTCAGACGACCTATAATTAAGTCGTCTAGTGTTGATTAGTCGTCCAGACGACCTATAGTTAAGTCGTCTAGTGTTGTTTAGTTGTTCAGACGACCTATAATTAAGTCGTCTAGTGTTGTTAAGTCGTCCATGGTTACCTAGTCCTCTGGACGACTTAAAGTTAAGTCGTCTAGTGTTGATTAGTCGTCCAGACGACCTATAATTAAGTCGTGTAGTGTTGTTTAGTCGTTCAGACGACCTATAATTAAGTCGTCTAGTGTTGTTAAGTCGTCCATGGTTACCTAGTCCTTTGGACGACTTAAATTTAAGTCGTCTAGTGTTGTTTAGTCGTTCAGACGACCTTTAATTAAGTCGTCTAGTGTTTTGCCAAATTGCACAACCAAAAGATTATAAGACGACTTAATTTTAAGAATTAATTGAAAGTTTAATATACAACAACACAATAGACAACAAGCATTCTAAACATCAGCCTAAACAAGTTCGAATACAAACATACAATGCAAACATCAGGCTTCATAAGTACCGATCTCCTCAAAATTATCCTTGTTTCATACCAATGCGGGAGAGTGAGCTCATTATATATATCCACAGCCATCTTATCCCTAATATTCTTCACGCTGGCGTCGTTCTTAGCAATATCTTTTGGATTAAATGACAGCCCAAGAGCATGACATTCAATGTATTTTAGAGCGTAGACGCCATAATCACCAGATCGGGCCTGAGGCACATTGCTTGCACGTTCAAATGTGAATGGCTCCAGGGAGTATTGGTCACGCAGCTCATCAATGGAAGAGCACTCAACAAGCAGATAAGGAACCATGTGCACAAAAGGCTCCATTACCAGTTCGAGGTTTTTGTCGGAGATACAAGATACGATGCTGTCCCAGACGACTATGTGTCTCTTAAGGATTGATATCCATATAGCAACCCAATGCTCGTCCTTGTAGTTCACTGGCACATAGATATCATCAATATCCACCCCCCCCCCCCCACACAACTTCAATGACTTGCAAAATGATGGTACAATGGCTGCATAATAGTTAAACGCTCCACGAGGGAGTGTTCTTCCCAAACCGTTGGGAGCAGGCTCCGATGCTTTAAAGACGTTGTAGCTGGCTCTCCATTGCTGAGCAAAGAGATAATCAAGGAAGCAAATCCTCTCGCTCCTGAACGCTTGTGGATGTTCAGCATACCTCTTCCTCAGCACATAAATCCAAGCATCAATGTGCTGCATTTAGAATAAAAAAACAAGATGAGTCTGACGACTTAACAGACAACTTAACAGACGACTTAATGGTAAGTCGTCTTGTAAGTATTCTACATAGACGACTTAACAGACGACTTACCATTAAGTCGTCTTGTAAGTATTCTTTGTGAACGACTTATCAGACGACTTAACGGTAAGTCGTCTACGTAGAATACTTAGAAGACGACTTAACGGTAAGTCGTCTACGTGAAATTATAGTCAAAAGATACACTTACACAGTCATGCAGCCAAGATAAGGTGGTTCGGAGGATGTAATACCACTTAGTTGGCGCTGTACGTGGTTTATCCTTCAAAGGTGTCTCATACCAGCTGCAAACACAAAATGTTCAGTCAGAAATCAGTTTTGTAGACTAAAAAGCAAGCTATTATGGATCACTTAGGGATCAGTTTTCAACCATTCAACGAGCGCCTTCAGTTTGGTCTTGTTAACTGATCCAAACGGATTATAGACTGGAGCTTTGGCCTTTTTGGAAGCAATGTTGGCATTTTTGCTTTGACTTTGGCCTTTTTGCTTTGGGTTTGGAATGATCACTTTGGCCGTGCTGTTTTCTGTATAAGGAGATTGTTGTGAGGCAGTAAGATTCCTTGCTCGGTCACTCTTGGCACGTTTAATTTGTTCCAAACCGGCTTGCCTCTTTTCCTGATATCTTACTCGCTCCTTCACTCGATCTGAAATAGTGGGTTGGTGTTTTTCCAAGATTTCGAAGCTCGGGTCTGGATCTGGAAGGTTGAATGGAAGGTTGAACGGACGGCTGGATAGAAGGCTCGGTTCTGGAGGTTTTTCCTGGCTCGGAACTATACTCAGCTCTTTCGAGGCAGTAGCACCTGCGGACAAATCCGTTGCTTGACCCCCCTTCGGCAAGCTCTTCTTTCCCGCGTTCGACCCATTAAAACTTTCACATTCCCCTTCAGTTTGACCCTTACTCTTTTTTTGTTCTTTTATGGTGACACCATGGATTTTCTCCGCAGCTTCCACCCTTTCAGACAGATACTTGATCTTCGTAAGGCACGTCCCAAACCCTTGACTCAAGGCATCGAGTACATCCTTCAAAGAATCTTTCAAAGAATCCTTCATGATTCTTTCAATATCCTCTTTGGTCAACCCACCAACGTTCGGTCTGACCTCAGCCTCTTCCTCTGCAACTTCCTCTGCATCTTCCTCTGGCTCTTCCTCTTCATCTACCAGCTCTATACGCTCTGTACGACCTTTCTTAAGAGGTCTTGGACTCTCTTCCTTCACCAGAACTATCGCTTTCTTTCTTTTCTTTGCTACCGGCCTTGTCCAAGTACCGGTGACTTCCCAGCAATCCATGGTCCACTTCCATGGTTTCTTTATGCACATGAGTTTAATTATGTTCTCCGCGGCCGGATCATCAGCATCAGAGTCCCATCTTGGAAACATTTCAGCCATGCCTTTCTCAACAAAGTTCATAGCACTAGTCTGCAGTGAATAGAAGATATAAACTTAGATATTTGGCGGATTAAGAAATATGGAAAGAAAAGTATTCGCAGAAAAACTTATGATTAAGTGGTCTGAAAAGTCATCCAGCTGGATGACTTAGCAGACTACTTATTTTTAAGTCATCTGCTAAGTCGTCAAGCTGGAAGACTTTCCAGACGACTTAATTATAAGTCGTCTGCTTCTGGAGTAACGTAAATACCTGTCTTTCAATGGCATCTTTAAAATGCCGTCCTTTGGCACCCTTGTAAGCTAGTATCGGTGGATAGCTGTTTGGTATGGGCTGACCATAATTAGCCTCCAATTCCGGCAAAGCTGTGTACACCCAGACCTGGAGAGCATGTACAAACCCATCGATGGTGTAACAACCAGATATATCTTTGCCCTTCACAGAGTCCATCAACACCTTAAACGCGACTCTCCCCCATGGATAATTCTAAAACCGTTCTAGATCCATCACTAGCCTAGCCAGAGAAGCCCGTGTATGGGTTGAATACTTCCTCCCTTCAATATATCCAGCCAAGATGGCAAGGTACCCGAGCCGCTTGCGATCATCCCGAGACCACTTTTCGCATCTCTGAAATGCATCTATTATCTGATCAGTAGTTGGCCCAGTTTCGACATTAACTCCCAACAACTCCCAGAAAGCAACCAACTCCTTTGTAACATGACAGTTTGGTCTCTCAAGGTCCTGAATGTACTCGCAGTTTAGACCAGTGAGGTATTCAAACTCGAGCAGTGAAAACCTCAAAGGTTGTGGACCAGCAAGACTCCACAGCTCATACTTCTTCTTTATGTCGAGCTGGAAACAGAGTATGTAGTGAACCAGCCTTGAAGCCCATTCAAAATCCAGCTCTTGGAACTTGATGAAAACTCCCAA